CCACCCCACCCCCCTCTATAACGTTACAAATGTACAACTACGGATAAAGCAGATAGTTTAAACCTAAACTTGTACTTCATAAACGTAAAACGTGCAAGATTGAATTCAAGGCCAACACCTTGGGGTCTGATAGCCCATCAGAAAAGATAACATAACTAGTGCCCACTAAGGTTACAGCCAACCTTGGGGACTGATAGCCCATCAGCAGAGATCACATTACGAGTGCCCACTAAGGTTACAGGCAACCTTGGGGACTGATAGCCCATCATCAGAGATCACATTACTAATGCCCACTAAGGTTACGGCCAACCTTGGGGACTGATAGCCCATCAGCAGAGATAACATTACTAGTGCCCACTAAGGTTACGGCCAAACTTGGGGACTGATAGCCCATCAGCAGAGATCACATTACTAGTGCCCACTAAATTATATTTTATGAAATATAACAATGTTAAAATTTTTCTGAACTATATTTATTAAATGCAATCATAGCATTAACACTTATTTTAATATATCATTACCACCAATTATATATAAAATAGCACAAATGTTATAAAACTTTTGTATATCTCATAGCAATTAGTAAACTAGAATAAAATATTCCTCTATTGATAGTATGTACATGGCACGTATCTAATAACACTTACGTTTTTTTTCGTGTACGTTGCTGTTTTGTCTGCTTCAGAGATGGATACGATAGCACAGTAAACAAAAAACAGCAGGAGACACGAGTTCGCCATCTTTGATCAATATAATGGGTGACACGTCTGTTGAAAAAAGAAATCATTACTTTTATTTAGTTTATCCTTCTATAATTGTTATCTTTGAAACAGATGTCACCACTATCGACGAGGGCGACCGATGTTACGAGCTAGATAAACTATTATGTTGGGAGGACTTGGTCTTCTTTCAATCACTGTAGTATACCGACTTTATATATGGATAATGATTACAGTGCGTGATAGCTGTTGACTGAAGTATATTTTGTTCGACAACAGATCCTTAATCAACATGGTATCGAATACATGATTTACACATTGTATCGAATACATGATTTACACGGTATCGAATACATGATTTACACGGTATCGAATACATGCTTGACACGGTATCGAATACATGATTTACATGGTATCGAATACATGATTTACACGGTACCGGATACATGATTTACACGGTACCGGATACATGATTTACACAGTATCGAATACATGATTTACACGGTACCGGATACATGATTTACACAGTATCGAATATATATTGTATACAAAAAAGACTAACTAGTTTAATATTCATACAGCACAGAGTGTACAATTATAATAAGACAATTAATTTGCTAATAAAGTATTTTTCTGACAACATCAAAATCAAAATTGAAATGTAGTGTGTAAAATTGCAGACATTTACAATTAAGATATAAAACTGGAGATTATAAAAACAACAACGGCTACTACACGCCACGTTTGAATACCTGTTTGATAATAAAAGTCGATTGATATTATATAAACACGAATATGATTTTTTTTTTTTTTTTTTTTTTTTTTGTTTCCAACAGTCATTCTTATGTATAATGCATTGCTCAAGATTTTGTTTTGAAAGTAATATTTAAAAAAGCATCTGTAATATATTATACGTATACCTTGCTTTTGTTTCCTTGACTTGATGTTTGGTCTTAAACTGTTTTAAAATTATTATTTTTGTTAAAAAACACAACATAAGAGGTATTGGTCATCTGGTGTGAATGATTACACGAGTCCTAATAAGATAATTGATGAACGCAGGCATATCTTCCTCTATGTCTATATCTAAGTATACTGTACATAATGGTTACAATCATACACAAATAAATAAAAATATAAGGCATTCTGTAATGTATAGACAAGAAAGTGTTCTTACCTGTTTTCAGCTTGGTTCAAAAGGAACGTTTGTTAATCTGTGTACGTTTTAAATAGGATTCATATTTCGCCACGAAGTCCGCTCGAGGACAGACCAATGATGAGGCTTCCATCTGTGGTACGGTCAATACCACGTACCCATTCAGATAGGAAAGATGAGAACAACTACATGTAATTGCACGTGTACAGTCTTGTCGTAACATCCGTGACACGTGGCTGAGCAACTTAGCTGCAGTAATTCCTTTCTGAAATATGTTTTACAAGATATGAATTTTTGAAATAAATTTCAGATATATATAATATATATATATATATATATATATATATATATATGGGTTTTTGTAGGAGTTCAAGTTGATGTTTTTCTATATAAAAATAATTAAAGGCGATCTCCTGTTCATGAAATTGCCACGAGTGCAATCTTTAAAGGTTTTGTTTGATTGTACAGTGTAATTCTCATCCCCCCTAAACTTAACAAAGTCATTATATTGTAATCCTCATTTCAATAATAAAAAACTTTTCTCATTTTTCCTGCGACACACTGGTGACCAGCTTTATGCAGTCGAGATGCATTCCTCCTATCACACAATCTCTATCGTCAGTACGAACGATTTCGACCTCTACTGGCCATGTAACATCTACGTCAAAAATACCTCCCTTATCCCATAAGCACTTCTTAATAATTGCGGTACCTAGTGTCTTACCCGAATTCTATGTTATATGTATATGTGGCACCCCGTCCCCTCCTAGAATCCTGACCTCTACGGGCCAATATCATATTTATTGTAAATATATCTATTCAGTTCTGGTGAGGATTTAAACCTAAACTCCAATCGCTAATGCCGATTGATGTTGCAAGGTATTAATAACTATCTAAAATGAGCATTTTGATAAAAGTACTCTTAACATTTTGTACAATCTATCGACACCGGTAATGGTTGTTTTGTAATGTTTATACTGTATCTCCTACACGTTTTCAATTACATTGATTCACACAATACAAGATTATCATCTCTGACATGTACACGTATAACGCGTCACAGCTGGCTAGCAAACATATGTTGCTCGGACACAATTAACAACCGGTGTCAACCGTCTGTTTCTAGAACGTCTTCTGATCATCTACTAGATCACAAGTCCTTGAATCGATTGTCCCCTAAAATCCATCACCTAACCCATATAACCCATATAACACGTATTTGATAGTAGAGAAGGGTTTGGGTAGTAGTCGGAGCTTGTCACAATTAGACACAGCAGAGTGTCATGTGACATCCATTCAGAATTACAGATGTTATTGATTTACTCTTCCTCAAAATAGACCTATAATCTAGATGATATGCAACTCCTACCCGACTACAAAACAGCACACACTTTATGTATTATCATTTTAACCTAACAGACAGCTGTCAACATATTTCGATCATTGCAATTCCTGCGAAAACAACGTCTGGGAAATGAGCATTCCAGTGGATCCTAGAATGACGGAACAGTTGTATGATACAGTTTAATTCCTTGTTACATACTGTATCTATCCCCACATTTTCAAGGTACAATCACCTGCGTGTGTTACAGTCACCATTCAACCTACCTATCCAGTTATCTAGCGATATCACATCCCTTGTACCTGTCAACCGACCCATTGACCGATTAATGGGTGCTAGTTGTACCCTGGTATGTTATAATATAAACAAAACATATTGACTTTTTCTTGTTATGTCTTTTTTTCCTAGCATACTAGTAACACAAATGTTGACTGTTTGTGATTTAAGTGATTTTTGCTTTTCAAATCATAACATAAAATACGCACGTCTGTCTGTTTTAAAAAGGAACTGGTAGGCTTTGCCATCACCACAAACATGGCCTGTTTCTAGGTGAAATAACTTAAATAGTATATAATATAATATAACGGAGGGCTGATTTGCTGTATCGATCATATGATGGGAATCAAAACATACAATTGTATCTATATATTAGAACTTTTGTGATTTTTCAACTAAAGTTGAGAAAAAATACAATGGTGAGGGAACTTTTAAAGACATGAAGTATTCTTTAAGCAAAGCTCAGATTTTCTGATATTTAAAATATTTTGTCTTTTGATTATATTTTATCATCAATTTCTAGCATGCCACCATCACAGAGTCATATAACCTGTTTGAATACAATTATCATCGCCTGTAAACCTGAGTAGGAAGTTTTAATCTCTCGCTGTAACTTATACTGTGAAATAAAAAAAAATCGTTGTACATTAAATTTTGTTTATTTCGTGGATAACAAAAATCCACGAAATTGAAACCCCACAAAACATAAACTTGGTATGATATAGATAGGGGAAAATCAGAAAACAGCGAGATGTAATGTCCTTGAAACAGGCTAGTATATGAAGACCACGAAATTTTAACCCCACGAAAATAAATGATTCTGCAGTATGTTTAAATCCAGTGAACAGATTTGTAGATCATATTTGGACGTTTGCTCTCCTTTTGAAGGCCTTGCTTTTGTGTCGCATACTCTATATGAGGTCAGACCAGCACTTTCTAAGGTATGAGGATATAATTTGGTTCCAAGTGTACAAATGACCTCCATATTCGGTACACGCTGGATATGCGCTGTAAAACTCCAACGTCTATCTCTATCTTTGATTCAAAAATGTCAAGTTGGAAAGTTATTTCTTTGTCCGTTAGATGGTATTTTGGTACATTTTTTATTTTCATTTTTTTATTTGATACGAACAATAATTTACACTTTTTATGATGGAATCGCAATAGCCAGTTTTTTAACCGCTTCATCAAATTGCAGAAATCCTCTAGTTTCATAGATAGAGAATATTAGTATAATATAATGTGATCAACAAGCATTACTTTTGCTCTCTGCTAGATCGTGATGTATGTGACGAAAAATATAGACCAAACACACTAATTGAGATATTCCACTGGTGACAGTGTGTTATTTTGACGACTCCCGGTTACTTTTCCCTCTTGTTTTCAGTGTTTCAAAACATTGACTACCAAACACTTAGATTTTGTTGTTAATCCATATCTTCAGACTTGGCTTAATTAATTGAAATATAAATCTTTTTAAAAGTCTACATAATACTACTATGCAGTTCGTTGTCAATTTTCAGTCCATTCATTCATTATTTTAAATTAATGAAGCAAATTTTATCTTCTACATAAAAAGCCAAATTGTCGTTGATCCTCCCTTGATGATTTTTGTGTGAGACATCAGAAAAATCCTTAAAGCTGTCTTGGGTACAGAAAGGAGAAAATGTGATATAATTTATCTATATTGAAGATTTCCCGGACAGTAAATAATGCTATAGGTCAATATATACAATGAGTCGTAAAACAATTGTAAATAACATAATTATATCAAACGTTTTCAAGTGTGATTCTTTGCTCTTTATATGTACATAAATAATATCAAATATAACCACACGGGACAAAAGTTACCCTCTCCATGTAAACAAGTATGTGACGTCACATGAGGGAGGACCTACTTAGATTACTTGTTTTCTTCTATACACGTCAAAATTCTACTTCGTGATTACCTTTCCGTTGTTTAACAAACAACTCTTGTCAGACAGTTCTATCGTCTCCCGGACCTTATCGATCAGACTTTTTTTTAATTGAGCCCCATCATATTTGCCCCATTTTCCACGACTGAGGGATTCTTCTTCATGCAGTTTTTCGTCCTATGGCAATGAGCAATTGGCAATGATACGGAAAAACATGTTCATATGGGATATTTTCGAGAAAGTGTAAATGATATTCATTTAGTCGCACTTGAGAGTAATATAGAGGCTAGTGCAATGCACACTCATATCTGTATTCCCTTTAACGGTTTTTAACTAATTTTCTCAATATACAAGATTGTATCGTTTGCTCAATTTGCTAATGTGTACTACTTTATTCACGATTTGTGTTAATGGTCTGTTGGGATAATTTCGTTTACAAAAGAAGTTAAAACTTAGTGTTTTAATCAAGATTAATGATAATTATGACAATTTGTAACATTGAACTCTATCTTTTGAATAGAATTTTCACCGGGATATTGATATCAAAAGATAAAATGACTTCACATAACCCTTGCCTAGATTTTGCCAAGTTACCACATTACAGTATTTATCTTTGGTCTAAAACGTTAAAGTTATTTCATCTGCACTTACGACCCACGATGTGTATTCATTATTACACGATCAGTCAATTTCCTAGCCTGTCGAACAGGTATGAACATGTCTGCTAATGCAAAGCAGTTCACAAGAACTTTTGTTGTTATTATGCAGGTTTGGCAGCCAATGTCAAAGTGCCTTGTTTATATTTGAAGGTAACGCCCCGTATTAAATCACGCAAATGAACTGCAAAAGGGCATTTCCTTGTCAATAAATATCGAACATTAAAGTGTAATCGAGTCTGTAACAATTTGTGTCCTTGTAGCGCTTAATGTTACATTTTAGGGTCTTTGCACAGACTACACACCACCGTTTATTTATGCATCTATATACGTATTGAGATGATTATCTTCTTACTTAATGCATACTGGTGATTTGTAATTCTGTTTTTGTTTATCAATTTTAATTAATATTATTATCCATATGTTGTAAAGCACTTTAGAGTAAAATTATATAGGGTTCTATTTAAATGTTGTATATTATTAATTAAACAAATTTCACGTTATGCTAATGGTGCCGACCTGTGAACGTTAGGCGTATACTGCATTTGTCATCTTTTTTTTCAGTTTGTTTTGAATTAGAAAGACGAATTGGTAACTTGTTTATCAGGAATATGACACGATTTATTGGCATTGTTGCAGGCGATCAAAGTTTGCCTCGTAAAAGCGTTTCCCGATTTAAAATTGAACTATAACTTTGACAACTTCAACGAAATAAATATTTAATTGGCTGCAATAATTGAAAATTCCTACCAATATAATCCCCATCTTTATTGTTTACAGCACGCAATTAAATGTATTTATATAGATAGACGTCATTCAAATAATATTCTTGCTGTGAGGTCTCTCAACCTGAGCCTTTAATTGCTTTTGTTTCCAACTCTATTTTTATGCATTGAAGATTTGCAATAATCTCATAATACGTCCGGAAAATTAGAGTTCAAAACAGTGCAGTAAGATGTTACATACTCTGTTATTACTAGCAGTAGACACCTGAAGGAAATGTGTATGACGTCAAAACATAGCTATAGGATAAGTCAAAATCAAGTGTTTGATGGATGATGGGAAAGAGTAATGATAAAGACATATGGACACACTTTTAAATGGTTCTATGATTTATCATAAATCACTTCTGCAAAAATCATTACCGATAATATATGATTCACCACATATCGCGTTTAATTAACAAGGACTTTATTATTAAAAATGCACTAGCATATACTTGCGTAACGAACTTTCGAGGTGATTGATTCAATTCGTCACCAAACGATTTAAACTTCTATCTAGGTTATGAAAATGATTTAGCAGTGCTGAATCCTTTACATTTTCAATGGCAGGCCGAACAAATATTCTTGCTAACCTAGTTTAGTAATTGTGACTGAACTGAAAGTAAAAAGAGATTTTTGCATTTTTCAGTGTTAAGTGACCCGAACAAATTTATGCATAAATGCTATTGCTTCGGTCGTTAGGACGGTTGTGTTGTGATACAAAAAACCGCATACACTTTGTATAAAAATGTGTGTGGATTGTACATATATTTATATATATATATATTGATTTGGACAGTATGGACTATGGTCAAGTTTTATGGTCGTCATCACGATCTCATAGGGAAATATTACTTTCTTAGTGAAGTCTTTTTATTATGCCCACTAGAGGGCCTTGTGATTTGTTGTCAATACCCGAATTCTCGATGTGAGAACGTAACATTATTTTGATTTGGCCTAGCTTGACATGGCGGGTGTCGTGGGTAAAGCAGAAGACGCCCACTAATCCGGAACACCTGGTGTAATTTTGCTAATATTATTTTAAAAGTCTCATGTCTGTTTTCCTATTTTGCCCTAATTTTTTGAATTTGAGTTCAAATTATAATTTTGTTGACATTCCGGTATTCTCTAGTTGTTTTTGGTTTCCTTTTGATTCCATTGTGTTGACACCATGTTGTTTTCAAGTTAACAAGATTCAAATGCTGTGACTGCTGCTTAATTAACACTTCTGTCCGCTTTCATGTGTCAGCTATAAAGCATTTACAAATCTCTCAATTTGAAAAAAACAACTTTTACAATCCCACCACAGCATTTTGACAAATAAGTTCAAACTGAATCTGACTCACCATCGGATACATCAGTTAACACCAACAATGAGTAAAAACTTGAATTGATCTTTAATATTATTGATTCTTCCCGTCCGTGTGGAAGGGAATTAAAGACACATACAATAATAAATAAGATAAAACTCTCATTCATAATATTATATTCACAACATCTTGGAATTACACATTGCATAGGCAACCACGTGCTAAAATTCAGAATTTTACATACATACATACATACATACATGTCAGCAATGTGGTATTCATTTAATTGACAAGTGCTTATCCAGCAGTTACTATTTTCGATAGAACACAGATATAGTAATTGATAGTATGATCAATTTGCCACAACTTCTTAGTTATTACAGTTTAAATAATGCAATTTATGAAAAAATGCATTTTCTTTTTGTGACCTAAGAAGACATTAAAAATATAATCATAAAGGACAACGAAAAGCATTAAGCATATATATTTGGCACTTGTCGCTTAAAAGACATAGGTATTCGAATTGGGTTTCAATAACCTCACCACACGACTTCGAATGTAATTGTATGTGTCTGACCACATTTATCTCATTGGAAAAAAAATTAAGAGGTATATGACAGTTTTGATCCACATCACACCAACTTATCACTGAGCTATTTACAATTGAAATAAAATACGTATAACATTATAATCTGAAACATGTCTCAAATACACAAAATGGCAATACATAACATTACTATAATTTTATTTTCGTATTTGATGTTTTTAGATTATATCAATTTTCACAGGCATTGGTTGCTCTGCCTCTCTACTGTCTTTCTTAAAACTCCTTTTAAACATTCTCTGTCTCATGATGTTTTCCCTATCTGAAAACCTGTTGCTATCATGCCGTGACAAGCCCTTATTCAATCCCCCGCGGAAAGCTAGTGTCCCTTGCTTCCATTTTCTATGAATATTTTCCAGTCTATCTTCGAAGATTTGTTGGAGAATAGGTACGTCATTATTCTCAAAATTTCTTTTCTGTAGAACACGTGTTTTACGCCCGAACGTTCTGACGGTACCACGCCGACTCTGGGGAAGAGATGGTAATTCGTCGTAGTGTTCAGTTCCTTGCGATATCCCGTCGTCCTCCTCATAATCTGGCGGCAGTTCGTCGTAATCCGGTGCAGGTTCCATTCTCTGAAGTCGTTGCGCTTCACTGACAACGAAACGCACGAAATCTTCCTCTGTCTGCACCTTCTGGAACCAGTCAATCCGTGTACTGGACATCAGGTGAAGAAAGGTCCCGTACCTGTGGATGAGCATGCTGATGAACTGGAGTGAAATGGCCATAGCAAATACAGATAGGAAGGTAAGAGACAACGGCTCGTATTTGTTGATGATGTAGAAATTCTTTAGTTCATTCTCCATTGACTGCAGCTGCAAAGTAATAATTGTCCACAGGAAGTTGATCATGAAGTATATGAAAACTACGTTGTTCTTAAGGGAAATCAAATCCTCCTTGATTTTCTTTTTGTGTGATTGATCTTCGTCGAGGGGATGTAAATATTTCTTAATCATAAACCTCCAAAAGGCCGCTTCCTCCTCTGATATGTGTTTAACAACTCCATCGCCTAAGTACTCCAGTCCGAGCCAGTAGGGATTGTCTGGATCGGCTTCCCAACCTGTCACATCCTCGGTACGGGACGGCTGCACTTTTTTTACCTCGGGTTGTCGGCTTTGTTTTGAAATCGAACGTTGACTATCTATAGTTTCTTCCGTTTGGACAGATACTGTCGAAGTCTGAACAGCTCCTTGATTCCAGAACAATCTCTTGAGTGCACTTGTCACATCTATGATGAGGGGTGCTAGACCCAGTCTGTTGAAAAGACTTTTGCTGGCCTTTTTCTTTTGTTTTTCCTCTTGTAACTTTTGCAGTTCCTCTTCTTCCTCTTTTGATAATTTCTTCGGTGTTTCTCTAGTTCCCCACGAAACGTTATTGACATTGCAAAGGTAATAGACTGTAAGCAGGATGAAAGTAGACGGGACTGTGATGAAGTAGAGGGCGCCGTACACTAAACAAAAGAATTCTTGTGGATGCAATATTCCTGCTATCATAAAGATGGATGACAAGCCAGTAAGGAAAACAACATTTGGACTGCCGAAATTCTCTGTGACAATACTTATGACTGTCCCTACGGTAGCTACCATCATTATGAGGGAATAGAGTGCCGTAATGACTGCCGCGGCGAAGATCTGTACATCGTTCTTGAGTTTTAGGCAAATTCCCAGATAGATTAATACCGGAAGAAGGGACAAAATGTAGGACTCCCATATGCCGAGCTTCAAAACTGAGTGGTAGGACCCTGTGATCATCAGAATGACGGTAGAGGGAGCAAGAATAGTTGATGCCATGAGGACGAACTGGTAAAGAATATACAAACGACTGATGTTATCGTTAATTCGAACAGTGTCTCGCCAGGAAGCCAATAGGTCCATCATGTTAGCCAATGTCGACGGCGACCAACGACGGCGCTGAGAGAAAAACTCGTTGAACGTTTCCGGTGCAAAGGTCAAAGCATCGGCTCCGGCGCAGTAATCGATACGATGTCCTTGTTGCAGCATGAGCGTGCATAGCCATCGGTCCTCGCCTTAAAATAGAAAGTAATCAAAATACAATACAGGACTTTCTAGACTTTGTCTTTGTTTTTCGTTGTTTGAAAGTGAAATATTTTAGGTTAAAATAGTAACATAGATCACAACATTTTAATTGTTAATTTATTTTTCTATTGAATATTTTACAACATACTGCTTGGACATCGACTTATTAAAACCATGTATATGTAAATATTACTAAAAAAATCAATTAAGATAATATATTCAAATTTCATTTTAACAACTTCAAAAGAATAGTTCCTCGTTGAAATGATCTGTCCTTACCCTGTTCAAACTGGATGTAATGGCGGGCCTCTGTTGGTTTTGTAGTGTACATCTTCAGGACATTATCGTCCATGATGGCAGACCCTCGAAATAGACTGAAACACCCAGGACAGCAAAGCACACAACCGAACACGTGTTCTGCAGCTTTCTGCAGCCAATGACCGACGGCATACTCAAACTGCTGGTACCATACCATAGGACCTATTAAACAGATTGACAGTTGGAGTAAAGAAAGGCCAAGTAATTAAAAAGGAATTAATCTGCATTTAATATTTATCTTTATCATACCTTCATGATAGGCAAGTGTAATTACTCTAACCTCATAGCAAATTGATCTATATTGTAGGTAGTAGACTGCAAATACTCAAGACCTGATACAATATCAATTAATTAATATAATATAGGATAATGAAGTGATTTTGCTCCGGACTTTGTGGCACTATATAACATAAAATTGACGCAAACCTATCATCAATAAAATACCTGACGAAGCATGACACAACATATTGAGTCGTTACTTACCTGAGCCAATAGGATGAATACGCCCACACACAGCTCCGACTTTCCGGTTTTTCTTCATTCTGTCGATTAACAGTTTCACTGAGTCAGGGCGGAAATCAACGTCTCCGTCCAAGGTCAGTATATAGGTGCTCTCAGCCTGGTAACATAAAAGAACGCATAATGTAGCGAAAAGTAAAGAAATTCAGCAGGATATGCTTATCGAAAAGTGAACTAATCTGTTTGAACTTAAGAAATATCACCACCAAATTCAATTTGTTGTAAGATTGATAATTAGTGTTGAAAAGCAAACGTAACAACATATTATTTCCTAGAGGCACCATTGATAAAACAAATGCAATACTGGAGTTATGTCCTTGTTTCTCAACGATATTGTTAGTCCTTTTCGGGGTACTTGCACATCTTCATACGTACACTCTTTCATATTGACAGAAACGAAACAGGTACCCTAGTCACGGTTTTAACATAAGGTATGCAACGCTATTTTGTACTGTGTTACGCGGTTATTCTTTTTTTTTTTGCATACAATTACAGTCCTTTTTTCACTATAATCGCGCGCGAGAGACTATTTAGTTCAACTGGTAGAGCGACAGAATGGAAAGCTTGGGCTGGTGCATTTCCCGATATATCTGCAAGGTGTACAACTCTCGTTATGTCACACGTGCACCACTACATATGAATATTCATAAATGAGTATGTGTGATAAGTGAGATATAATACCTGTTCATATTGTTCCGGGTCCATGCGAGTGAAGAGGGTCTTTAGCGGTCTTGCTCGGTTTTTCTTGCCCTTCTTCCGGTTCCTTAGCTTAGACATGCAACTCTCGCTTTCCTCCGTCATAAACCGGTCAGCTTCCTTACCTCCTAGTAGTTTGAACCCCAGCAAGTAGTAGAGGTACATCACCTTAATTGGAAAGAAAGAAAATGTGAAACAAAACGTCAATAGTCAATTTAAGATTATAATTTTAATATTGTTTTGGATGTAAATGTCTATCTGTTTACTCTTAAAATGACATATAAACATTATAGTTATTAAAAATTATATAAAAAAAAACCCAAAAAATAAATCGCTTTTAGAACTGTCGACGATAATCTTGAGACATTATCATTACATCATTACTATATCTTTGTTTGTAGTCGTACTACAAAGTACATACAATTCAAACAGAGACATACCACCAATTTTGATTGCAGTGTATGGGGTACCATCGTGAAAAACTCACCTGTGACCATCTCTTCCTGTGTCGCATCTTGTTCTTGTTTTTCATGTGCACGACCAGTTTCGTGTGACCAGGCATCGTCCAGACCAGTCGTCCTCCGTAAGATGTCGGTATCTTATCGGGTGACCCCATTATCACTGGGCCCTTCACCACTGACCTATGGAAAATATAGAGGTATGGGTGTTTGATTGATTAAGCTATCTGAGAGTGATGCCGAATTTTTATAAGGTAATGCATTTTAACCTTTTCAATCAAAAAACCATTAGGAGGCGCGGTACTCTAGTGGTAGGACGCCGGGCTCGTGACCGAAGGGTTGCGGGTTCGAGTCACGGCACGGCACTGTGTTGTATCCTTGAGCAAGATACTTTACTCCGCTTGTTCCAGTCTGCTCAGCTGTGAATGAGTACGTAGTTGGGCAGCGCTAGAATTGTAGAATGTTAGCTGTGACTGCCGAAATGGCAGCACCGGCTGTATGCTCCCCATGGAGTTGAGAACGATATAAGCTGGTTGCAAAGGCCCTATAACCATGGATAATAATTTGTGAGCCGCTTTGAGACGACCTTCGAACTAGGTTGTTATAAAGCGGTATAAAAGAACCTCGAACTATTATTTATTATTTTTATCGTAATTTAATGAATCCCCCAACTCGATTTCTGTGTTCCGATATTGATCTGTAAAAATACTTTGAGTAGATTTGTGTAGCAATAAATCGTATTACAAAGAAATTAATCTTTTCCAAGTTACTGTACCATTAAACTGTTGCTTCCTGTTAGGAAGAGTATTTATTTGATTCTTAGTTGAAGTATGTGTCTTAACATGCATACAATGGGTACGTTAATATATGTAGAACTAACATATCACCCACAAAAAGTAATAGTTAAATGGAAACCTAGGGATTCCGTAAAGGTGATACTAAATAATGATATAACAGTGTCACCGAAATACTCGAATATGTTTTCGAATGGGACGAAATTACATGTAAAAGTTCTTGATGCCATGCCCTCATATAGACATGTCGATTAAGTAGGAACATAAGGATGTACAACCGGCATTTAAATATATGGTGTTGTAAGGCTGATTTATATGGTATATTAAACAAAGGTGAACCCGTTTACTTGAATATTTTATCAACACAGTTATACTTTTAGCACTTTTTTCTGTAATAAATGAAAACAATGTTCGTTTGTATGCCTGTCAAACAATAACATGACACGACGTGATACGAATATTTCATACTAATGACCCATTCAATTCGATATATATAAATATTTACCAAAAAAAAAATCAAAGGTACCAATGTGACCCACATTCCATTAGGGCCACGAACACAGCAATTTGATTGGCTAATATGACATTGATAGATGGTGACACGAGCGTAATAACTTGTGTTATCGGTGACATGTCATTTGAAGCATGCTTTGTTAATTCAACATTAATTATCTAAATGATACATTACGATAAAAATTGAACCACTGACATTTTCATTCTTAAAAGTTCGAGATTTCTAGCATTCGACAACACGTCATTTAGAAAAGTAAAATGATAAAAGTACTTTTTGTTGCAATAGGTATGTGGATAATGTTGTTTAACATTTCAGTAAGCTATCAATGACTTCTACAACAGTTCTCTGATCATATTTTAAATTGATATCAATCAAATGAAATCGCTGAATTGTTTTGTATATCCGTGAAATCTTTACAACATATATCATCTACCTTATTATTGATTAGCTTGATTTCCGACAATTTAAATCAATCTGTGATTTCTTTACTAATTATTACAATCAAAATGTAGCATTATATTTATAGAATAAAATAAATCACATACATATATAATAAAAAATACGGTAACGTTATAATATAGAAATACACAAAACAAAATACCAAAATACGGTAGTTATCAATATGAAAATATTCACCTGGCAATGGTTTGTGGGATATTGTGTTATGTTTTCCTAGCACGTTTTAAGGTTCTTGGTCACAATAAATCACATGTGAGTACAGATGAATCATAAATACGCGACACGATTGGTGTCAGCTATTCCTATCATGTCGAGGACAATGATGCACAGTAAATGTAAATGAGATGTGGCCAGTCACGACTTGGTTTACAACACATTTGTCCGTATGTTACTACAACACGTCCGTCTGTTACTACAACACGTACTTCCGTTACTACAACACATTGTCCTTCTGTTACAACAACGCGTCCGTCTGTTACTACAACACGTCCGTCTGTTACTACAACACGTCCGTCTATTACTACAACGCGTCCTTCTGTTACAACAACGCGTCCGTCTGTTACTACAACACTTCCTTCTGTTACTACAACACGTCCTTCTGTTACTACAACACGTCCTTCTGTTACTACAACACGTCCGTCTATTACTACAACGCGTCCGTCTGTTACTACAACACGTCCTTCTATTACTACAACACGCTCTTCTGTTACTACAACACGTTGTCAGTATGTTACAACAAGACGCCCTTCTGTTACTACAACAAGTTGTCCGTATGTTACTACAAGACGCCCTTCTGTTACTACAACACGCCCTTCTATTACTACAACACGACCGTCTGTTACTACAACACGTTGTCCGTATGCAACTCCAACACGTCCTTCTGTTAATATAACACGTTGTCCGTATGTAACTACAACACGCCTTTCTGTTACTACAACACGTCCGTCTGTTACTACAATACACCCTTCTGTTACTACAACATGTTGTCCGTATGTAACTACAACACGTCCGTCTGTTACTACAACACGTTGTCCGTATGTAACAACAACACGTCCGTCTGCTATTACAACACGCCCGTCTGTTACTAAAGCACATTATCTGAATGTTAGAACACATTGCCTTATATAATAAAGAGAATTGCCCTTTGTAACTACAACTCATTTAAGGTATTTTACTACAATACATTGACCGTATGAAACTACAACACATTGTCCGTATGGTACTTCCACACATTGCCCGTATAATACTACAACACATAATCCTTATGTGAACTACAACCTATTGTCCGTTTGTTACTTCAACGCATTGTATGGTAATTCTACACATTGCCCGTATGTATCACAACACATTGCCCGTATGATACTACAACACATTGCCCGTATGATACTACAACACAGCATCCTGATGTTACCAAAACACTTTGTCCGTTTCTTACTACAACACTTCGTCCTATGTTACTACAATACATCGTCCGTATGTTAATACAACACGTTATTCGTGTGTTACAACACTTTGCGTATATAACTTCAGCACTTTGTCCTAAGTTACTACAATACATCGTTGACTGTATGTTTCTACAACATACTGTTCGTTTGTTACTATAACACATTGTCCGTTTTTTATTACCGTACATTGTCTGTCTGTACTTAACATGACCGCCTTTGCAAAGATATACCACGTTGTTAACTACCAACACACACACACATCGGAAATACGCAATGTCAGAGTCAAAAAATCATTACAAGACGACCACAACAGGATATGAGAAGTCACACCAAAAAACCCACCCGAAAATGTATGAAGATATTATGCTTAACGAAATCAGGTGTTTGGCAGCAGCTGGACGTCAAAATACAATATATGTAACCTCTTTTCTCTAATCAATGATGGTCTTTCACTTTAAGCTGATGTATATTGCGATGCCTCTTTACAAAATACGACCATGATATGAGATTCACAATATATCCAACAGTTGATATTTCCGTAAGGTAAAGTCATGAGTTATGTGTGGGACTTACAACTGATGGATCGACTGAACTGACAGTGCTACATATTCATGAATTATTTATGGTAAATTGACATCAGTATCGGTTTTGTTCTAGTTCAAACAACAATATTAATATATGTAGTAAAAGTTACATGTTGTAATTAATATTTTCTTCACTTGTACTTGATATGGCTTTAAGTTTAAAATATCGATATAGATTTAGTTATTCATCATTCAAGTATTTTATGTGACAAACCATTTGGCGAGTGATGAAAGGGTAAATGTCATGACTCAATGGTGTCGTTTTTTAACCAGATGGTAGTTAGTTACTGTTAAATTGGATGTTTTTGCGTGTGGAAATTTTCGCGTTGACAATGGTGCTGAAATATATATACTCAATAAACCTATAATCAAGATGATTTATAAATAAATATTCACGTTATGATATTTCAAGCTCATTTAATCAAATTTTCCACCCCAAACATTCCCAATGGTTTCAAACGGAACAAACTCGTGAGCAGCCTTTGGAACGTTAATCACTTTTGTCTCACCACGACGAGGTAGCGGAAGCGAGACTAAGGTGTTGCTTTTTCGGCGACGGCGGCGCAAACATTAAGTTTCTGCGTTTAACTTAGGTTCACTGACAGTATAAATGCTGGACCAACCAAATTTGGAACATAGATGTATATGAGGTAGTACATCCGAACCCATGCATAAAATCTATGCTAACACTGTGTTACGGCCGTAAGCATGACCTGATGCCAAACAAAGAGTACAATGTGTTTGCTGCCTCATCGATCGTTCATGGCCTACATAATTTACCGGATTTCAAATTCCGTTTATTTTGCTGGAGTAACTGATTATTGCTCCAACGCCTTGACAATAAATCGTCAATAGTATTTCGATTTCACATCCTCTTTACAAATTTCCCGTCATATTTACCTTGCAGCGTCCTCCATACAATCCACCAGCTGTCTCACAAACATGTTAGGGACATATTTATCAACGGTCTCGTCCAGTTCAAAACTGTCATCGAAAATGATGTGCACTGGAAAACAGAAAGAATCATAATGAACGTGATGATTATTAACGTTTAGATCAATTATCTTTGATATGTATCATGAAAGGTAAGAGTGTAATGTGATGACCATTTCTGATATATACTTACTTTCCAGGTCAAAGTAATCTGGATCGCGGATGCGAAATTTCTCCTGTGCCAAGCGACTTGCACAATGGACGTAATCCAACCTGTCCATAAAGAGAAAACATTAAATAATACTCTTTGGAATTCCACTCATTAACAACTGTAGATATTTTTCTGGTCTGTAGTTAGTTTAATAACATGTAAACAGACACTTCCATGGTAACTAACAGTGCAATTATAACAGATTCAGTGAATACACCCACGTCATATTTTCGCGTTGGCGTTCATGCAATATTTCTTATTGTGACGTATTATAAACCCAAGATGGGAAAACGTAAGACTTCATAAATGTCCAAAAAATGCTTGTTATCCGCAATATTCACATAGACTCTAGTTCAAACATGTATAATAAGATAGATCTAAAATTCGTATCCATTTCACATGAAACTGTTGGAACTTGTCACAATTATTTGAATTTCAACTTGCAGGAGGATTGCTAAATTGAACATTCTCAAACTTGAATAAAAAAATCACATTTAAAATGGAATTGATGTAAATACTGTATTTATAATTTACTCATAATGATATGCAGTGTATCATATATTTTCACACATATATATAAGAAAATAAAGCGAACATTTTTCATATTTCATACTGAGACGACAGTCATCTACACAGCAATATGCGAAAGCAGCATGTGCAAATAAAAACAAAACATACATAAGAGATAAACCACCGCCAATACCAAATTAGAGCAATAATAAGATGGTATACTTGTAATATATAACTAATATATAACTTGTAATATATAACTAATACATAACTTTTAATATATAACTTGTAGTATATAACTAATACATAACTTGTAATATATAACTAATACATAACTTGTAATATATAACTAATATATAACTTGTGATATATAACTAATACATAACTTGTAATATATAACTTGTAATATATAACTAAAATATAACTTGTAATATATAACTAATAAATAACTTGTAATATATAACTTGTAATATAACTTGTAATATATAACTAATATATAACACTTGTAATATATAACTAATACATAACTTGTAATATAAAACTTGTAGTATATAACTAAAATATAACTTGTAATATATAACTAATATATAACTTGTGATATATAACTAATATATAACTTGTAATATATAACTAATATATAACTTGTAATATATAACTAATACATGACTTGTAATATATAACTTGTAATATAATGCATATTGCAATAGATTAACAAAGTACCTGAAAAGCGATTTGAGAAGCTGTGTCATTTCTTGTCGTGTTTCATGCCACATAGTTGCACACACATACACCTGGGGTGTGACATTGATTCCCGCGTAAATGTCATCTCCTGTAGTGTAAGCATCCTCGCCCACATACCGGAACGTGTCGAATCCTGTTAATTTGATTTCCTTATCGTTGCGCCTCCGCCGGAGTGTTAGAGTGAAGTCTGGGAATAGAGCATCCATGTGTGGTGTAACGAAAAGTCTGCAAGCGAGAAGAAAACGACCATTTACATTTTGTCTGTCATTCAAATCTTATTTTGCGAAATTGATAAGGAAAACTGCATATACTTAATAACTTTTTTTTATTTTATTAAATTGATAATAATTATGGATTCGCCCTTTTACAGCTTTGAGCACAAGACATTTGTTGTAAACACAATAGGTCAGATACACTGCGTCAACATACAACGAAAAATCAGTCTTAAGTCAATACTCAAAGATTAACTGAGGGAACATAAAAAAGAGAGATAAAAACTGCACGATATTTAAGCACCCATCACATACATCAGCATAATAATGATATTTCGTGATTATTTCAATTAAATGTGGTACTTACTTTTCTAGTTTGGCCATTCGCTCGCTCTGAGGAAACCATATGTGTGAGACTGTGATGGAATAGGACAGCCACAACAGAAAGGAGCAGATCAGTGGAACTAGCATAGTTTCCAGTTCATACCTTCCACAAAACCAGCCACCTAAGTGCCAGTGGGCCGGGAGAAAGTGATATTGGCACTGCAGAAAAATGACGGCCAGGGACACGGGTGGTGCAATTATCAATGGAAGAGCAAAGGCTGTTCTCTGCATATGGAGTTTGCACGCGAGTCCCGCTAGATAAGTGCATATTATTCCAGATCCAATTTGAATGAAAACCAAACTGTATGAAACGCCAACCTCCTCGATTTTTGAATCGAACTCACTCGTTGTTTTATTAAAAACACTGGCAGCTGGTACAACGAAGTTGGTATTGTTGGTGAGAAGACGAGCAAACAGAACAGCAAGACCGACTTTGAATGGCGCTACAAGGAAATATGAGGTTTCTCTTGTATCCTGTAAAATAGACCGCCATTGTCTGAATGGTATAGTGATCCGTCCAAACACCGTCCACTCTCCAGAGACGTAGTTCTCCCACCAGCCGATTGATATCAGCACCAGCGCAACCGGAAGTTCCCATTCTCCATTTGTTGCTTTCTTAACCGCTGTCGTTACATATGTGGTAGCGTTATGGCCTTCAAGGAGTGTATGATTTCCCTCCAACATGAATTTTTCGGTGGAAAAAAATGGAATGGACGCCACTTGTACGAGAAAAGCGGCAATGTTCATGATGATTGTGACTATTTCACTGAGACTGGGATTCGGTCTCTTTTCGTGTACAACTACTTTAAGAAGACTGGGAATTTGACAAACTGCAAAAGTCTTTATTAGGCCACTAAAGAAGTCTGTAGAAGGCAACACACGGAACAGCAGAAGACACAACCCGAATGTTTGCATACTCTCCATAAGAAGAAGCTGAAAACAGAATCAAGACAATTATTTTGACATATAAATGAAAATGATCAAAGACACGTCCATCTGTATATGAAAATAAGTAATTCAACGGTACGGTGAAAGAGCGAAATGGTAAAACGTTAAAACATTACGACAGATTCCGAGGTAGATAATGATCTAACAATCACAAACACTTACCAAAACAAATGTCTTTATTGAAGGCCATTCCTTGCCACCAAATAGGATTTTCATAAACGCCATAAACCAGCTCCAACCAATAGGTAAGCACATACAAATAAGGACCATGAACAGGTGCTCCCCACGGGACTCGGCGTCCTGTCAAAAACAATCAGCGGGAATGCTGCTTTGAATTTTTTTATTTTTTTTATGTACAACTTACATAACCAATTTTATTTCATCATTAATATCAAATCAAATAGTATGCTATTTCTCTACATATTTATCCTATCAATACTTTAAAACTTGCTAAAGAGACCACCGGTTTTAAGAGACCACGTGTTTGCGCACAACATTTTGGAACTCCCCAAAGCAAAACATTTAGTGTTGAGTGAACATGTATTAAAATACCACCTTCAATAGAGACCTCTTTATGAACGGCCTTGAGGTTGGGTCAGGTTTGGGTATATTAGGAACCCTTACTTGTAAACTAGTTTACTGCAGATACAGACAAAGGCAACACAGTGACACTTTTCCTTGCCATGTTATAGTCAAATTTTACCTTACTGATCCCTGATGTTAGAAGGAGGAGTGATATTTTACTGGCCACGGCACAACTGAGGATGATGATGACGAAAAACACATATAGGAAAAGTCGAATGCCCTTCAGGATTTCTTTGAATATATAATCGCTTTCTTCAAACTCTCGCTCTGATACTTGGAAAATGTCATACGGTTGCCTGTAACAAGAAAAGGGGTTCAAGCGTTAAATACAATTAGTCGATTTTTTACAAGACTGTTTTAAAAGTAAACCATAGTTTTGACGTGATAAATTATTTTCCCATATGAGTGAATTACAAATAATATTAATAATAATAATAATAAACTTTATTTATTGAGGATAAAATACATGTTTAGCCAAAGGCTAAACTTCCACATGGTCCTCTTGTTACTAAAATACGTGTGTTAGATAAAATAACATATCTACGCAATCGATATATACCTAAATACATAAACATGGTTATCTCGCTAGTAAAATATATGTGCTAGTTAAAAGTTACATATATATTGATGCAATCGACATATATAAGGTTATATCACAGTTATCTTAGTTAAGATTATCACAGAATGCATAAAGTTTCATGCAAATGTATTTCATCAATTAAATGGCATGTGCCTAATATACATACATGCTAATATAGCAAACAATAGAAATTGACATAGTTATACGCTAATATAGTATAATCTAAAATATTGATATAATTAGATAAGAAGTCTATTTAGAAAGTAAGAAGTTTTGGTTACATGGAGAAACAAATTAAAATCCAAGACATTGATATACAATATTTAGTAAGTTTTCGTTTGAAAATGGTGAAATTATATATTTTCTTTATGTCACTGGGTAAAACATTCCAGTCGTTGATACTGTCAATAAGGAGGGGGCTGGAATAAAAAACAGTTCTATATTTTGGCACTTTGAAATTATTTTCCCTAGCATATCTTGTATTCCTACTCCTGCATCTCGCACAAGAAACACATTATTTGATAAATATTCAGGCACAAACTGACGATGACATTTATATAGCATGCACAACCTTCTGTATTTATAGTATTTGTCAATCGGCATCCATCTAAGGAGTTCAAACATTTGCCTAGAAGGTGTGTCAAATGGTACATCTAAAATAAATCTAGCTGCTTGCTTCTGAGTCTTAAGCAGCCTGCCCATTTAAATTTTGAAAACACAAGAATGAAAAATATTCAGCTTTTCTTCCGTAGGTATATATTGGCTTATACGTCTCAATAACCTTATTCTTTGCCTTATTCTAGATAAAACAGATGTAACATGACTTCCCCATGTCAATCCATTTTCAAAATGTACACCAAGCAGTTTTCCACTGCATACTTGTTCAAGGGGTTCATTGCACATAACTAATTCTAAATTTTAAACAGTTTCTTTTTTGCTTTTGTTTTGAGGCACTGCACATACATTTTGTTTTCTTGACATTTATCATCATTTTATTTTCAATAAATCATTCACAAACATTGTCTAAATCAAACTGCAATAGACTGTTGATGTTATCTAACGACTTATCAACATCAGATAAGGTAGAGTCGTCGGCATAGGTATTAGTGTTAAATACAACATGTAGGGGCAAATCGTTTATAAAAATTAAAAACATAAGAAGACCTTCAGGGAAAATGGTTGTTGTTTGTCAATTTTGGTATGATGTAAATTTGTACGTTAACAAATAACAATTCACGGTTTACACGTTAATATCATTGGTCGCGCATTCGGCTATAAATAGGGGTACAATATGAACCCGTACCAGTGTTCTGTTGGCTCTTTGTCTCCTTCGACTGTCGTCGTGTTGTCCGTACTACGACTATCTTCTGACTGAACTCGACTGTTCTTTTTCGGTGGAACACTGACACTGTCGTCTATTTCAACTCCGTCAATGAGAGGAATTTGACTATCTGAGAATGGTGCTTGTGGTTGTTTATAAAGACCGTTTTTCTTTGCATAAAAGTCTTTGAAAGGTCCTGTCCTTTCCCTGGGACTACTTGTCATGTCCAGACCACTGTCAGCCGACTGTCGCGGTGTACTATGCAAGTTGTCTGTTCCCTCTGACAACAATGACAGCAGTGACGCCTCCGACTGTCGACGTCTCATCTCCTCTCGTCTGACCTCCTTTTCTCTCAGCTGTAACAAATAGGAATATAATTATGATACAATGAACCGAGAGACCACATCATTATTATGATACAATGAACCGAGGGACCACATCATTATGATACAATGAACCGAGCGACCACATTATCATTATGATACAAAGATCCGAGTGTCCAGATGGACCACATTATTATGTTGATGTAATGAACCGTGGGATTGCATTATTATTATAATACAATGAACCGAGGGACAACATCATTATGATACAATGCACGAGGGACCACATCATTATTATACAATGAACCGAGAGACAACGTTATCATTATGATACAAAGATCCGAGTGAACAGTTTGACCACATTATTATGATGATGCAATGAACCGTGGGATTGCATTATTATTATAATACAATGAACCTTGGGACTACATTATTATTATAATACAATGAACCGAGAGACCACATCATTATTATGATACAATGAACCGAGAGACCACATCATTATCATGATACAATGAACCGAGGGACAACATTATCATTATGATACAAGGAACCGAGGGACCACATTATCATTATGATACAAGGAACCGAGGGACCACTTTTATCTTTATTATACAAGGAACCGAGGGACCACATTATCATTATGATACAAAGATCCGAGTGTCCAGATGGACCACATTATTATGATGATGCAATGAACCGTGGGATTGCATTATTATTATAATACAAGGAACCGAGGGCCCACGTTATCATTATGTTACAAAGATCCGAGTGAACCGTTGGACCACATTATTATTATAATACAATGGACCGAGGGACAACATTATCATTATGATACAACGATCCGAGTGAACAGTTTGACCACATTATTATGATGATGCAATGAACCGTGGGATTGCATTATTATTATAATACAATGAACCGAGGGACCACATTATCTTTATAATACAAGGAACCGAGGGACCACGTTATCATTATGATACAAAGATCCGAGTGAACAGTTGGACCACATTATTATGTTGATGCAATGAACCGTGGGATTGCATTATTATTATAATACAATGAACCTTGGGACCACATTATTATTATAATACAATGAACTGAGGGACCACATTATTATGATGATACAATGAACTGAGGGACCACATTATTATAATGATGCGATGAACAAAGGGACTACATTATTATTATGATACAAGGAACCGAGGGACCACATTATCATTATGATACAAGGAACCGAGGGACCACATTATCTTTATAATACAAGGAACCGAGGGACCACATTATCATGATGATACAAAGATCCGAGTGAACAGTTGGACCACATTATTATGATGATGCAATGAACCGTGGGATTACATTATTATTATAATACAATGAACCTTGGGACCACATTATTATTATAATACAATGAACCGAGGGACAACATTATCGTTATGATACAATGAACTGAGGGACCACATTATTATTATGATACAATGAACTGAGCGACCACATTATTATAATGATGCGATGAACAAAGGGACTACATTATTATTATGATACAAGGAACCGAGGGACCACATTATCATTATGATACAAGGAACCGAGGGACCACATTATCTTTATAATACAAGGAACCGAGGGACCACATTATCATGATGATACAAAGATCCGAGTGAACAGTTGGACCACATTATTATGATGATGCAATGAACCGTGGGATTACATTATTATTATAATACAATGAACCTTGGGACCACATTATTACTATAATATAAGGAACCGAGGGACCACAATATCATTATGATACAAGGAACCGAGGGACCACATTTTTATCATAATACAATGAACCGTGGGACCACATTATTATTATAAAACAAGGAAACTTGGGACCACATTATTATTATAATACAAGGAACCGAGGGACCACATTATCATTATGATACAAGGAACCGAGGGACCACATTTTTATTATAATACAAGGAACCGAGGGACCACATTATTATTATGATGCAATGAACCGTGGGACCATATTATTATTATTATGTTCTAAATATATTTAACGGATCATTATGACGGTTTGAAAACCATTTAAGTGAACGTTTTATTGCATTAAGATGTATTCACAATTTTTGTCAATTTCAAATTCAAACTTCATTTTTTGATATATTTATTTAAACACTGAATGTTTTTTTTATATATATGTTTTCACACTATATAAGGCCAGTTTTAAGACAGGATCCCTCTATTGGTATGTGTCAAATCAAAATTTAAGTGCACCTACCTTTTCACGAAGAATTGAATCCAAGTTATCCTTTTGCCAACTTTTCATGAAAATCTGTTAAGAAGAAAATATGCATCTTGTGAATCCCTATAATATACATATCCAATAGTGTTTTTAATGATTTTGAATAATTATGCAGACATGATATGTGCTGAAATCAATATTCCGATGACATAAAATTTGAATCATACATTCCTATATCTGCCCTTATTTAGTATCAAGAATCAAATTAAACCAGGTCACGTCTGAATTTTCATAAACGTAGTCTCATCATCAGACAACTATACTGAAATTTATACTAACAACTTAATAGAGGGTGAGTAATTGATGTTTATGTTAACATGCGGAATAACATAATAGACAAGATATATTTATATATTTTAAAATAGTAGGGGGTCAAAGGTCTACACATATATCTTCTTGTACCGCTTCTTAAATAACGCACTTTACCCTATACTGGACCCCAAAAATAGAGTAAGAGTTTGTATTGGTTTATCAACTGTGCAATTAATAATCATAAAATGACGTCTTTACCTTTGACCTGCCCATTTGAAATCCCTCTATATTTGCTGTTCGGAGTATCTCTATACAGGACTCCCGTTCGCTTGAGACGTCATTTGCGTAATCACATATATCAGAGTATCTGAAACAAAACATATTGTATATTTATATTTCACGTTCGCATGCATGACATTGAGTCTTTTTATTTTCAAACTTGGAAACTGTATTTAAGCTAACTTTTTTATGATATATTATAATTAAGCATTTGAATACGAAGAATGTACACTTGTTTATATTTCAAAGAAGAACACCAAAGTAAACAAATACATAATTTCCTATTCAAAATTTGTTTACTGATTCATAAAGCAGACATACAGATAAACATATCTTCGAGTCTTGTTATGTCTTACTTTCTTAGGAAATCGTCATATTTAATCCTGGTCGGATACCCATCTCTCCTTAACTCTGCGATTTCCATGAGGCCATTGCAAAGGAGTTGTCTGCGGATTAATTCTACGTCAAACTTCCCTGATATCAGTGCATTGTTTGGTTTGATACACCTACAAGACGTTTAAAAGATCATCATAAAATTATGTAGCATGCTGAAATGAATCTGTATAAATTTCAATACAACAAACATTCTACCAATGTTTTAATCCTTAATTTAAGCAGCATCAAATGGTATTCAAGAAAAAGTAGTAAACATCATATGGTAAAACTGTTTTAAGTATGGCTAATAGCATCTAGTACGTTTGTTTTAATATTTAGCTAACAGGCACACTCGTTTAGCATACACAGGCAGGGCACATTGAAAACTAGAATGGTAAGAAAAGGCAGTTGATCTATGACACCGTATTTTCCCACAGGCATTGTAATAAAACTGAACAAATATCTAATATTTAGATTGATGTGTTCCATAATTATTTATATTTGAATAAAAATACTTATTAAAGGCAAGAATGACACAAGTAAGAACAAATGTTAGAGTTAGCTTGTTAAATCATCGCCTGAAATATTGCTCAAAGGCATTTATGTTATTGCAGCTTGTGTCAGGAGGTTATCAGCAGTCGCACTTTATCACCAGATTTGTATTTGACGACCTTTAAAATATAAATTATTTATCAATAAAATAACACGACTTTAAGAAAACGTTAGTATATTATCTAACAGTAATATATTATAATTTATACATATACTGTAAAGATGTTTGCTTGATAACGGAAACAACTGTGTTTGTGACAAACCACAGGTAAGCCAACTGATCAAGTGTAACTTAATGCTTACAGTCATATAGATAAGAGTAATACTTATTTGCACTTGTCAAGACAAAGGATATATTCGCTCCGTTTGTTTCTTTATTTGCTCAAGATTATAAACACTGGTGGTAATTTACATCCCTATTTAAAGGGGAGTATATAGTGTCTCTGTTATGCGCAAATGCGCGAGTGCGTGCGTGCGTGATAAGTGTTTCCATGTCATACATCTCTTGTATGGTGCACGATCATGGTATGAAAATATATTTCGCTCTTCAAAGACCTATATTTTCAGCACAACTGAGCATCAAAAGACATTTCCCCTCTTAAATAGTTACTTCACACAAACATCTAGGTTTACGAATTTCGTGCAATATAATACATGTATCGAGAAACAAAGGTATAATCACACACTATCACTACGTCAAAGCGACCTATACTTTTACTCAACTTAATATCAAAGACATTTTGTTTAAAATGTTCCCTTGTTTCTTTTTCATACATTTTTACCAAACTTCATTTGCTGTTAAATTAAGGGTCGCACACCTTAACTTTAGCACAGTGACCTATATTTACAGGACACTAAACAATAATTGAAATTCTTTGCGGGACTATAGAAACATATATTATGGTCTTTCTAGTGATTTATGATATTCCAAATTAAAAAACCCCAGAAAAAACAACAGGAAAGAGCGGAGGAATTTATTGAACTTTGCTCTGTAATATTTACTGTTTAAATGAAACAGCAATAAATATTGATACAAAGTTGATAATTATATGAGGTCGTCCTCCGCTAAAAAACTGTATTGAAGCTGAGGCATTATTAATTTCTTAATGCCTCATCTAATTATGTTGTCTGTGGAAATTGTATTTATATTCATATTAGTTGATTAAAACGTCTAACGAAAAGAACCAGAGAAAAAACTATTAGTTTATCAACTCGTTGTTTAAAATTAAGAAATCAGGTTTGATACAATAAGTAGACAGCAAAACTAATGAAATAGAAAATAACTTACCTTACAAACAGAGGCTGTGCTTGAGAAAGCTTTGTCATGAGATCTGAGAGGGACCTCTAAAATAAATTAAGGAAATATATGCATAAAATATATAAGGATCGTGATAAAAACATCAATTCATTAATTAATATTGAAGCGGAACTGAAAACAACAAATATTACACTTATATCCTTTATACGGTATGCGAACAATAATGATCATTAACAAAAAGTTTCAAATTGTGTAATGACTTGTGTATATGTTCTTCAGGTCTATGACATCGACACACGAGGACGAAATATACAACAGCGTCAATTCAAATTCCAAAGTCTTTACAAGAAGGCAACAACCGTAACCAACGCAAAACGAGAACAATAACAATCTATCGTAAAAATACAAAGAATCGAAGACGGACGCAGGATCTACAAAAAGTGTTTACTATATGTAGCATTCACCACGTTTAACTCCATATACATAAAGTATGTGGGTCAGCAACGTTGCACTATGTCATTACAGCAATACAGTTTAACTTAGAAGCAATTATTCAATTTAACATATATGTACCTTAAAGTGACGTGTGACAGTTGGAGAGGTCTTCCCTCCCAAGGAACTAGCGACACTGTCTCCGGATAACCCGCGACTGTAAGAAATACACAAATGCTTACAAGTGGAAACATTCAGGTACCTGACGCAAAGTATCCCCTATATATAACGATTAAGTATTATGACACGTCTTTATATGTTACGGATGCTATGCAAATTTGTGTGGTCAAATTTGGCATGATTGTTTTAACTATAGAAATGAGTCAAGAAACAAATAGGTTATACGCCTACCTTACTAAAAAATCTTGCAATTACCTATTTGTTATAGGAGTGGGAGGTTGGAGGTTGACACGGCTATAGGTAGCCGCCCATGTATGTGGTTGTTTCTAAATGTTTAGCTTTAAATGCGTTAATGCGATTTTCAATAATATAACGCCCATACTCAGTGGAAAACAATATATCTTAAACAATGATGTTATTATTGCGGTTGGTAAAACATCATCTTTATCCTTGAAAAGAAGAGTTAGATGACGTAATTCATACCTCCTTCTTATCTTGAGCGACGCCTGTCGTGAAACACTTTCCCGGAGTCTTTCGGGTTCTATAGCTGACGGCCATACACTAGGTAGGCATGGCCTAGATGTGCACTTACTGGCAAAGCTAAAATAAATAAACAACAAATAGTTAAATAATTTATGTGATGATACAAAAAATCTTACAGAAATGAAACTATAAATGAGCAAACCGACAGTTATTCAGTATTACCTTCCGTTCTAATCTAATGTTTAAATGAAATGCGTTTTTCATGTCTGTGTCAGCTTTTTAAGAAACGTTTTAATTAAACAAAAGTGTACCCTTTGAAAAACCATAGACTCCTACTTCACCACCGATGTGGAAAAAATAATGAAAGTATAGCCCTTATGACACGTCCCTATAAACCAAACAAACCGGACATATACAATAATGCTACATAATTATTGATATTCACCAGGCATTTGTTTTAAATATCATTGTATGACATTTGTGTAGTAGGCGTTCTCATGTCACGCCTACGTTAAATGATAAATAGAATACCATCATTGTTAATTGTATATTAAATGTGTCCGCATTAGTATCTAATGCTCTTATTTGGTAATCTTTAAAATAGATAAGGATATGAAAAGTAAAACAAACAAATAAAAAAAAACACACGCCGGAACCGGAAAAGATAAAAATGTCGTATACACAGGTAGTCATGATAGTAATAAATTATGCAAAATATGTGGTCCATGCAGTCTGCATTTAGATATAACTCGTAAAAAAGACAAACATAGATATACAAACGCGCTAATGTATAATTAACGTAAAGAGTGGCGTCCGTCAAGGATATGATGTACATCCACGTTAATCTTAACAATATCTCTACTTGCAGTTTTTTGTACAAATCATTTGGAGTAAATTCTTGCTTATTTTCAATTGAACGAGTAAACAAGAAACTGTACGGCACATAAACAAAATTCTTATTATCTAACTATATGCGTTAGCTTGAATCTTCCATCTTTAAGCAGACAACAATTTCTTACTATCTTTGGATTTGGTAGTTTCCTTTAGGTATGGTATATTGTTTTAAAATGAACGAGACAATTGTGGGTGAGGTAACGAAATGATACAAAAAGAATTAACCATATACTATAGTAATTATTGTATTTCAAAACGAATACAATTGATAAATGTAATTCGAATAAGAATGGGGAAATGTAACTTATTGATTATTTGATAAATTAAACAGAACACTTTATTACAGTATTGCACAGTGAATTGTTAACGGCGCAAGTATCTTTATAATTTATGCTGTCAAAATGATGAGCTATAACTAGAATTAGAAGCACAAATATATAAATGTATATACAAATAGATACCTGTATATAAGATATGAAGTGACATCACAGGGTGATGGTTGACATAAAGTTCCGTGTTAATAACATAGTGTTGTGACTAAGTGCTGAAGTGTATCATGTATCGTGGTATGTCATGTCATCACCATATAACAGTCATTCAGATATACACATCATACAAGGAGTAAGTTGATTAGGTCATAATAATATCGAAATCATAGCCAGGCTGTAACTTGGTCTTACTTGTGTTCTTAATTCTTATGTTATTTGATATAGAACATAAGTTTTCTATGAACTTATGTCTAGAATTAAGACCGTAAAAGCCTTATAGCATCGTTTTAAGTTAATATATCGATATGGTTATAAAGTAGCTAAACACTGAAAAAATCAGCGCTTTTGCAAATAATGTTTTGATATCATATGCACTAGGTCACCACAAAGCTGTAATATACAAAATCAGTAAAAACGATATATGACGCGAAAAAATGACAAAAACAACGGTTCATATCACACTGCTTTGTTTATATCATGTTAAATGTACTTACTCAGATATGGTACCGGTCGGGGACATGGAGGCCGAGAAGAGATCCTTGATGAAGTCGTTGTTACTGTTGAGGAGACATGCAATGAGGTCTTGACTGAGAGTATCCCTGTTCCTCTCTAAGAAGCCATCGGCATCGTACATCACCTGTTATACAATGTTTTAACATATTCCAATTGTAATTCCCTTCGTAGTGAGTAAGTATATGAGGACAGTTTGAAACATTTTTATAACATGGGCTATCAAGGAAATTTTCAAAAAAAATCCTAACTCATTTGATTAATATTTATCAACAATGGACTTATTTAGTAAGACAATATGAGGGAAGACGTACCTGTTCGGCATAATGGCGGATTCCAAAACTTGTCCGCTCTCCCATGGATTTCACATATCTGTGAGTATCCTTGCAGTACTGATTTAGTTTCTGTACTAACGTTACATCTGTCGACCTCGGAAAAATAGATTCCTCGTCCAGTAACGATAGAACACCGTCTGGTCTCTGTAATAGTACCATTTAATAATTATTAAGAAGACATAACTGGTTTTCTTCAGGCATCGTAATTCTTGAAAATGTATGCGATATGTTTTTTTTTTTTTTTTTTTTTTTTTTAACGAATACTGTATAACACGTTATATATTTTTACAGTGCTAGACTATATTTACTTAAGAAATAACTTTACGAAACAAGTGTTAGAACGGATACAAGTTCAGTCTAATAAAACCCGGAAGTCATGCCTACCCTGAATACAAGTTCAAGGACGTCATCGTTAGAGTGGTAGACGATGTCCCTCCACTCGACTCCCTCGAGCTCGTACTCTCGGCGTTCTCGCGGGAAGATGTAATCCATGAAGTACTGCTGTAACTTTTCGTTGGAGATATTGATGAGAAACTGATCAAAGGTGTTGGTGCTGAAGTTCTCAAAACCGGACATGTCCAATAAACTGATTGTTAGTCCTCGGGTGAAACTAAAAAAATGTCATAAGAGAGTATTAGATTATACACACGATATAAGCATTGCTTACAATATCTTTGTTTTTGTGCTTCGATAGTTGCTCCGTTTGAGCTTTATTTATTTAATTTGCTTGTGTTAATCATATTGATAGCTAACCAGTTGCAAGAAAAGGTGCCTGCATTATCTTCAAGAATTCTTACTGTTTTGCACATTTGTTTTGCATGTTGTCTCATTTATGGTATATTACACAATGTAATACTGTTCTACCCTTATCTGTGCATGCCACTTATCAGGTCCTATCCATCCTACTTACTGAGATGTCTTGCCATCTCGCTGAAGCCACAGTTTTCTGTTCACCTGACCAACAATCCACCCAAACAACCTGGAATATAGGTCTTTAACGAGGGCATCACGGCTGTCGTTTGCTTCCCTGAGATTTTTCCAGGACTGAATCCGTTCTCCTGTAAGTAAACATAATTTCGAAATTTGTTTAAAATGAATAGGGCATTGTATCTGCTGAAGTGACACAAACAACGGTAAATAAATTAGTAATAGATTTTTTTACTTTTTTCTCTCTCGAGTTGAAGATGTGTAAACAGCACGAGTTCTCATTTGGAAGGAAAAGCCTTCATTTGCAGACACTGACGTTACGGAACCGACATTAACTCCAGCAAACCTACCGATGATGAAGTAATGTGACGAATGTTATTTCCAGTTAACGTACCTTTGATGAAGTTAACGTTAGAGATAAGGGCCTCTGTGAGTTCCACCTCGTCCTCTATACCCAGAAGTTTGGCGACCGCGTGGAGAGGGTATTCGTCAGCTACAGTCACGCCATCTGTTTCCTCACACGGCATGAACACGATGTTGGCTAAGTGGAGCACGGATGCCAGAACGAGGAAAATTACAGAAATATGCTGCAAATTTAATAAACACAAAACTGGTATTAATACAAAATCGCAAGTCAATAAATTAGCTTCCAAGTCCCGCTATATAAACTTTTATCATATGTTTTATTTATTTTTACTAAAACGTTACATCATTTATTGACACTGCAATTTCTGCATAAAACAAATGTATTGCCTACTCCATGATATCACATATTATGTTTTTATGAAATTTATGGAAGGATGGTGTATCCTTAGTTTCCATTGCTGTTTGGAATGGAAATGTTAATGGTATACAAGCAGTTAAAGGAGTATAGATATTAAATTTGAATACTTTAGTTATTGTTATGCGTTTGATATTTTATACTTTGTAAAAGTACGGTATATGTATTTGTCATGTTGATGTTAATGGATCAATGCATGACATGCTGATTGAAATTACTTACCTCATCTGAAAACCCTATGTTTGACATAATCACTGTCAGTTCACCAAACATATTTTTGTAGTATTGGAACTCGTCAGAATCCCGGAACACCCCACATGTCGGGTCACCATCACGCATGATTCTGCAGAAATATATTAATGTTTTATGTTTTATTATTTGTAAAAGTTAATCACATTGTCAAAAAGTCATTCATTTGACTGTTTTCGCAAGTTGCAGGATGTAAAACATATCGTATTTTTATGTTGAATATCTTATTATCTTGCTCATTCTTACCTATGACAGTCGGGATCCTCAAGAAAGTAGTATAAGAGGCGATCCCTGGACATACCAGCGAACAGAGAATAAAACACGTGGAAGTTCTTCTCGCCCCTGTTCCGGTACACCACTCGTGATTTCTCTAGTATGTAGTCATCGATTTTGGCTATAGGAAAAGGAAGGTTAAAACCATTGACCTTACCGTATTGGTTAATACCTAGAATTTCTGCAAATCTGTCTCTTATCTGGAGTGGACTTTTGTATATTACGTTGGCTTCTTGTGTAAGGCTATTATCGAATTTTGGTAATTTGGAATAAAAGTTTGATTGTCATCAAGTTGATAATTATCTTATTCTTGCTACACTTTGCTGCAGTGTCATGATGTAATTGTGAAAATTTGGTGAAAATCATAAACAAAGTGATATTATACATGCATGATTTCTGTGACTATTTTAACATATATGCTATGTTAATAAAAAAAATTCAAACGATGTGATGTTAAGAGCATCATGCACTTATTTACACAGCTAAACATAAGATAGGAAGACTCATATCTGGTGATTTAATTGCTCATTAAATAACAATCACGCAATGTATGTACTAAGAGACAAGCTGATCAATAATGCCCTGACAAAGATTGATAATGATTAAAATTGACCTTTCTCATTGTCGTTAATAAGACATAGATATTCAATTAAAAATCAAAAGGTGTACACTTGTATAATGTCACACAGTTAAATATTTACCTTGTGCAGTGTAATACAATTCTCAACAGAAATGTAAGCAGTTTTGTTTTTGCTAATTTTGGCAATCAATTACGTTAATTCCAAAATTTATATTCGTCCTTTGAAAGGCCTTTTGTCAATAATTGGAAAGCAAAAGACCATCATTGGCTTTTGATCCCAACGTCATGATTAACGTCATTGTTGTTATGACGTCATACTCACCGCGCCATATTTAGGGTTGTTCTATATCTCATAGTTGACTATGAAAGTATTTATATAGTGGCAATGCAGAACAATTAAAAATGTTCAAAGCATTTAACTGCATTCTTTGCACAGTCATAAGGCAATGTCTTAGAGTTATTCCTTATAGAATTCAGAAGTACCGCTGATGACTATACATAACTAAACATATCGAATCCTGCTTAAAAGACAACATAGACAAAGCTTGAACATGGCTGGGATAAGTCTTAAGATAAAACCGGTAAGAAATGAAATACGATTCATATTCTCAAACTTACAACCAGCCTTTTTGTTTTTACTAATCAGAGTTTGTCTACTGTCTCACAGACGGTATTTCTGAGTTCAAAGTTCGATGGTTATCATAATACATAATAAGCGTTCACCATAGCATAATCATGATGTGACATAAAGCTTTGAATTAATTTTCATCGCAAAATAAAGTTTTGTCACTGAAATTCATATCCTGTGTTTTTCTTCAATTGTACTTAAATAAAATATGCAAACAGTTAGTATGCCACATAAAAGTGTTATTATTATGCTAATTAACTAATTAATTATTAATACATTATTAATGTAGTAGTAATTATATCATGATATATATGTTATAACTATGTAAACAATGTGTTGTGTATTAACATTCAAGGGAACCTATACACAATCTGATATGTTTTTGTAATTCCTACCTCCAAGAAGCGACCCTTCTTCTGTATAGTGAAGTTCTATAAATTTTCCAAATCGACTGGAATTTCCGTTGATAACGGTGGAGGCATTTCCAAAGGCTTCAAGTAAGGGATTTACCTATAACAACACGAAAAAACGAGTACAGCTAAAATATTATTTGATATATTTGAAAGGTGCTATGATCAATTGTCAATAAAACAATTGAAAAGTTCGAAGTTTGGAGGCATGGTAGTCTAATGGTAGGACGCCGGGCTCGTGACTGAAGGGTTGCGGGTTCGACTCAAGGCACTGTGTTGTATCTTTGAGCAAGATACTTTACTCTGCTTGTTCCAGTCTACTAAGCTGTAAATCAGTATGTGTTTGGGCAGTGCTAGAATTGTAGAAGGCTAGCTGTTAGCGCCGAAATGGCAGCTCCGGCTGTATCCTTCCCAGGGAGTTGAGTAAGGTATTGGCTGGTTGCAAAGGCCCTATAACAACGGATACTAATTTGTGAACCGCTTTAAGACGACCTACGAACTAGGTTGTGATAAAGCGGTTTATATAAGAACCTCGAATTATTATTATTATTATTAAAAGTGGCATTTGTTGATACCCTGTTGTATGAGTTAAACAGTAATGCATTATAGCATAGCGTATGCCATTATAATTCTGGTAGAGTTTCGTGCTAAACGTTGGCTTTGTAGTCCTCTAATATGATGTATTTATGTGTTATGTGATTGATGAAACAAGTCATTGGTCACATTTTCATATTGATATCATGCTTTAACCGACGAAATTAATACATTTCAATATCAGATATACATGCACAATAAAAAACGGTGACCTTTTTTGCCATTAAAATATTCAAAACATCTCCGCTGCATTTTTTTCTTTGATATCTTGGGATAATATATGATTGGTATTAAATAGGGGTTTTGCCAAGTATTTTAGTTTTATTGATTAGTTTAAAGATCTATGCTTCAGACTAATGAACATCTGTAATAAACCCTAAAATAACAGAATATGACATGTTGGGGAGATGACCTGTCGCAAATCGGGTTCTGACCTAGCATTTGATATAAATGCCCGAAATGTGCAATGTGCATATATTTCCTGCAGACATATTTATTACTTTGTTAGACTTATGTTAATCATATACACGGTCATCGTCTTCGGTTCAGTGTATGAACGACTCATACCTTGATATATATATTATCACCATGGTAATTAATGTACGATAAAGTTTTGCATACTTTACATATATACATGATGTTTTAGAGAGCTAAACACGGTTGTGCTATATATCGAGACAGGCGTGATTGACGGTCCGGTCTCAGATAATAATGACTTCGGTAGTCATAGACAAAAGATATACTCCGTCACAGGTAATGAATGACCTGTCACCCCCGGGACAGGTTATAATAGGAACAAGTCTCCCGGGGCTATCGGTCGCAGTCGATGGCGCGTGGCCATGGATCACTTATCTTAGTTAGGTCATGGAATAGTGCTAAAGTATCGTGTCTTATGGGTTTCTTAGATCATACTTGAGTCATGATTTTTTGTTGATAACATAACAGGATAAACATAATTGTAATCACTTCACATGACCTATGTAGCAATTAACTGCATCTTAGTTTATTTTTTTCATTTATTTCAAAACTGATAAAAATGTAATCAATATACGTTTTATTTGTTTAAGGAATAACACTTATCTAGATGTAACGCATTTTTCATTCATTTAAATTTGATAACATCTTTAATAACTACATGTAACTGTACATCTGTCTTTTATGAATAAACATGATATCGAACATAAATAAATTCTATTTTTATAAGGATATATATCACAAAAGCGTTACTTTATTAACCGGCCACTTTCAGATATTCTCAGTTCAAATTCTCAATTAGCGTTTATATAAGCGTTTATGTAAGCGTTTTTCAGTTTGGTGGTCTGTTAGACTTAATTTGCATAACTTTTCGCTAAGGCATGTAAATATTATGAGATTACAAAGAACGATAACTCAGGTGTGTTAATGGCTTAATCATTCGTATGGCCAGAGACAGAACACAACCATGCTCCCCAGGGAGTTGATAAATATATTGGCTGGTTGCAAAGGAACATCGAATTATTATTATTATGACTCTGATAACAAGGTACTGTATGCCCGATGGCGGAACATATGTAGTGTCTGTAATCAGATAATAAAGGTATCCATCTTATTGGTAAAAATACTTTTTAGAAACTAGAACAAATCTACATAGCAGATCCTAGTTAAGTCGTTTGGACCACGAACATTACTTCGAAATGAACATAATATTCCAACTATTACATATAACCTAATTACCATGACTACGAACTTATGAGTTCTATCAGATTTCTGTTAACGATATTTGCAGGGAGACAATTAAATTCTTATCAATATATCTGACGCTACTTGCATAATTATTTTCTGTCTATTGAATTTCGTTGTTCATGGACGATCTAACTGCCAATCATAGGCCAATAATCAAAATACACATTTGCATAATATTTGTATACAATGCATAAATGTCATATTTTTCGGTAAGAAAAAAGAACAAAATTGATAAATTGTTTGTTTGATAAACAGAATGAGTAAACACCCATGTTGACGCTTCGCCTAAAACATATTTGAAAGACGGCCTAAAAAACGACTTAGATAACGTCTTACTATTTTTTATGAATACTTACAAGATAATGGTTTATGTAATTATTGACAATGCCAGTAAGAGCGAAATAATAAACGTTACTCGAAGGGAAATATAGCCTAAACACACATTTAATATGTGAATAACAGCGAGTAGGATTATGCGATATATTTCAAAAGACAGACACCTTACTCATCAATTTGTCAGGTATTGTTGTATTTATTGAATATGCATGTAAGGTATTTGCACGTATTAATGAATCCTTCAGCTTGAAACATTATACGAACTGTTAGTTTCCTGCTGTCGAAATATGTCACCTCATTAAACAAAAATATTTCAAACTAACATTTATCATTTCAAACTTGATTAAAGTGAAGTATCGCGCTCATTAACCTAAACAGGAATTCCAGTTTAAGATATATAGTTCATATTCCAAATGATTGACAAGCTAGGTATATTGTTCAATATTTATAAGAATAATCAAAGCTTGAATGTGATAAAATGATCTCGAGGGTTTATTAAAGTATGCTTTAAAGCATCATATTAAAAGAAGTATATTCATGTGACAGATACATGGGCATCGAATAAGTGTAGTGCATCAGTTCAACATACAAAATATTAAAAGAATCCTGTTAGATTTAAAACATCATAGAGCACAGACTAAATATATATGCAAAAACAAAAGTAAATTAAAACAATACTGTCTTGTTTTGTGAATAAATTATCGGATGTTTATACAGTGTTTTGCAAAACACCAAACAATGCATACACTACACTTTGCAAACTCAGTTTGCAATGTGCTATTTTGGGCCGTTGTGATTTTTTTAGGGTCCACGGTGTTATCAAAACACCAACAAAATGCGTATCTGTAATTACACACAACTTGAAATGGGCAATTATGTTCTTTGCACCACCACCAATGTCGTGAAATAAAGAGTTTGATATGTTCACACGTCAAATATCTAATTAAAATATCCAAAAGATAAACCATGGTTTATTTTGATTGATCAAAAGGTGAAATCGATATTAATGGTTAAATCTTATTAGGAACGTTTACCATCTATTTATACGTTGTATGTATTAATTTTGATCAATATATATATATATCAAAGTTGACAATGGCGTACGTGTTATGATAACATATTTGACGTCTATATAATTTTAAACATCATAATACGGGCCATTGCGTAATGATCATAATTACCATTCATATCAGAATCACATAGGAAATGCATTTTACGATGATATCACAGTTCAGAAGAAATTCGGTATTTGGAGATGAAAGTCGCATCGTCTTATTGTTTGTCTTTGTATGAATAAAAACAAACTAATTTTTCAATGATAAAACCACAAGCATTGTAAAAGCAATACCATGATTTTCTATTCTGGAAATGTCAGAGGTATAGGTCCGAAAAACTCGAATATCTAACAAAGTTCTCTATCAATGACTGTACACACACCAAGGTGATAATTACCTGTACAATTTTGTCGAGTAGGTGTTTATCGTTACTCGGACTGATCATCATGAGGTGTCGTATCATGTACTTTGTACTTTCTGTTTTTCCAGCCCCGGACTCCCCACTGACCAGGATACACTGGTTCCTACTGGTTTCCAGTAGTGCCCTGTACGCGTGGTCAGCCACCCAAAACAGGTGAGGGGGCTTCTCAGATCGGACCAGCAGCTTTGCATACTCCTCATGGTTCTGAAATAAGGCAACGGGTATTACTTTCATGCGATTACTTTCGTAAACATGGTGTATCGTTGAACCTGCGAAGCATGCTCATTTTGCAATGTTTGATAATATGTATCACAGTCATAGACCAATAAAGCAAAGACATAAAAATCTACATAAACTTGTATGCTACCTTTTATCAAGACAATAGACTATTTCTCAAACGTTAATCTAGGTAGATATTTTCACTTTTCTATCGAAATGAAATTGAAACTTCGTCAAACCTGTGTGTCATGTTTTCATGATATAACATTTTCAGGCGTGTATGTAATTGAGTAGTTAGACGTTTCTAAACAACTGGTACCAAGTATATAGCAGAACAGCAACGACCTGTAAAAGAGGATATTTTCTCTCACTTTTTCATTAACCAACGCTTCACAGCTGAAAAGCAGTCTAACTTAGCAAATTGTATGTAATGTTAATGAAAATCACGACATTTTCTAATTATAGTTTTTAATAACGGCTAGATCACGATGATTGATGGTTTTGTAGATAAAAACGGCCCGACCTGTGCAAATGATTATATATGCAGCTGTACCATCAATTCAGATGTTGAGGTTGATACAGTCAAATAGTCGTTTCTTACCGTTTTCTCGAAAAGATTCAGAGGTTTACATGGATTTACAGCCACTAGAATATCGCCGATATATGTCTGAAATAAACAAACAGACAAACAAATAAGAAAAATATTGCTTCGCAAAAATTACAACATTCAGAGCTATTATACAATTGTTATAGTGTAGGAACTATGGTAGAAATGTTACATGGTATGTTCGGGAAAGAACTGTTGCAGTACAGCTATCGGGAAAGAACTATTGTAGCACAACTATAGGGAAGGAACTAATGAAGCACAACTATAGGGAAGGAACTAATGAAGTACAGCTATAGGGAAGGACCTATTGTAGTACAGCTATAATGAAGGGGGTAATGAAGTACAGCTATAGGGTATAAACTAATGAAGTACAGCTATAGGGAAGAAACTAATGATGTACAGCTAAAGGGAAGGACCTATTGTAGTACATCTATAGGGAATGACCTATTGTAGCACAGCTATGGGGAAGGAACTAATGAAGTACAACTATAGGGAAGGAACTAATGCAGTACAAATATGGGGTTTAAACCAATGAATTACAGCTATAGGGAAGAAACTAATGAAGTACAGCTATAGGGAAGGACCTATTGTAATACAGCTATATGGAAGGACCTATTGTAGTACAGCTATAGGGAATGACCTATTGTAGTACAGCTATAGGGAAGGAAGAAATGAAGTTCAACTATGGGGTTTAAACTAATTAAGTACAGCTATAGGGAAGGACCTATTGTAGTACAGCTTTAGGGAATGACCTATTGTAGTACAGCTACAGGGAAGGAAGTAATGAAGTACAACTATGGGGTTTAAACTAATGAAGTACAGCTTTAGGGTTGGAACTAATAAAGAATAGTTATCGGATAGAAAATAATGAAGCACAGCTATAGGGAAGGAACCAATGAAGTACATGTAAAGGGAAGGAACTGATGAAGTACAGCTATAGGGAAGGGGTAATGAAGTACAGCTGTAGGGAAGGAACCAATGAAGTACATGTAACGGGAAGGAACTAATTAAGTACAGCTATAGAGAAGAAACTAATGAAGTACAGCTATAGGGTAGGAACTATTGTAGTACAGCTATAGGGAAGGACCTATTGTAGTACAGCTATAGGGAAGGACTTATTGTAGTACAGCTATAGGGAAGGGAGTAATGAAGTACGACTATAGGGAATGATATATTGTAGTACATCTAAAGGGAAGGAACTAATGAAGTTCAACTATAGGGAAGGAACTAATGAAGTACAACTATAGGGAAGGAACTAGTGAAGTACAACTATGGGGTTTAAACCAATGAAGTACATCTATAGGGAAGGAACTAATGAAGTACAGCTATAGGGAAGGAACTAATGAAGTACAACTATAGGGAAGGAACTAATAAAGTACAGCTTTAGGGTTGGAACCAATGAAGTACAACTATAGGGAAGCAACTAATGAAGTACAGCTATAGGGATGGAACTAATGAAATACAGCTATGGGGTCTAAACTAATGAAGTACAGCTATAGGGAAGGACCTATTGTAGTACAGCTATAGGGAAGGAAGTAATGAAGTACAACTATGGGGTTAAAACTAATGAAGTACAGCTTTAGGGTTGGAACTAATAAAGAATAGTTATCACATAGAAAATAACGAAGCACAGCTATAGGGAAGGAACCAATGAAGTACATGTAAAGAGAAGGAACTAATGAAGTACAGCTATAGGGAAGGGGTAATGAAGTACGGCTGTAGGGAAGGAACCAATGAAGTACAACTATAGGGAAGCAACTAATGAAGTACAGCTTTAGGGTTGGAACTAATAAAGAATAGTTATCACATAGAAAATAACGAAGCACAGCTATATGGAAGGACCTATTGTGGTACAGCTATAGGGAAGGGGTAATGAAGGACAGCTGTAGGGAAGGAACCAATGAAGTACAACTATAGGGAAGGAACTATTGAAGTACAGCTATAGGGAAGGAACTATTGAAGTACAGCTATAGGGTAGGAACTATTGTAGTACAGCTATAGGGAAGGACCTATTGTGGTACAGCTATAGGGAAGGACTTATTGTAGTACAGCTATAGGGAAGGGGGTAATGAAGTACGGCTATAGGGAATGATATATTGTAGTACATCTATAGGGAAGGAACTAATGAAGTACAATTATAGGGGAGGAACTAATGAAGTACAACTATAGGGAAGGAACTAGTGAAGTACAACTATGGGGTTTAAACCAATGAAGTACATCTATAGTGAAGGAACTAATGAAGTACAACTATAGGGAAGGAACTAATGAAGTACAACTATAGGGAAGGAACTAATGAAGTACAACTATAGGGAAGGAACTAATAAAGTACAGCTTTAGGGTTGGAACCAATGAAGTACAACTATAGGGAAGCAACTAATGAATTACAGCTATAGGGATGGAACTAATGAAATACAGCTATGGGGTCTAAACTAATGAAGTACTGCTTTAGGGTTGGAACTAATGAAGAACCTATAAATGGTAGGAACTAATGAAGTTCATATATAAAGAAGGAACTTATGGAGTACAGATATAGGGAAGGAAGTAATGAAGTACTACTATGGGGAAGGAACTAATGAGGTACGGTTATAAGGATGGAACTAATGAAGTACTTTTATAGGGAAGGAAGTAATGAAGTACAGTTAAAGGGAAGGAACTAATGAAGCACAGCTATAGGGAAGGAACTAATGAAGTACTGCTATAAGGAAAGAAGTAATGAAGTACAGCTATAAGGAAGGAACTTATGAAGAACAGCTTTATGATATGAGCTAAAGTAGAACACCTATCGAGTGTTCTGTTACAGGGTTTGAACTATTGTTGTAAAACTTTATTGTGCTACTTTGTAGGCTAGGAACTGTTGAATAACTGTAATACAGATAGAGAAGCAACAGTTGTAGTACATGCATAATGTAGGGATCATTGATGTACAGATATGCGTTTGAAGTTATTGTATTTTAGTTCTTTCCACCAATAATCTGTTGTGTTTCTGTATATCTGCGTGATTCCCTAAAAATCTTGTTCATAGCTGTAGATTTTCCTCTTTTAACGTTAATTGTAATAAATGCTAATTCATCATATTTTAGTGATAGCGTTAAAAATAGAAATAAATGTTTTCCCAATCTATAGTTTTTGTACATGATATTTATAAACCGGAATATAATATCACATCCATAAGATGATTAATCAAGTTGAATTTAAAAAAAAAAAAAACAGTTTTTACCTTCTTTTCCTTTTTATACCTCAGTGATAAAATTTGTTTATGCATAAAACATATTTCTATAAACGTATGTGTTTTTACTCACATAATATTTATCTTTATGGAATCTCCCTCTCAGCGCCTGGACAATGGTATTCTCATCCAGCACCTCGAGGTGGCTAAGGTCATCTGGCCTCATTGCTAAATGTGTAATCCTACGTGTTGATCATAGTAACTGAAAGTAAGATCGCACAGTTCTTGAGTAAACATTAATCCAGAGAGAATTGTGTCTATTCTTTACCATAGGTAATATTTCATATCCAGGAAGCCACAGGATGGAAACTAAATGACACACGGAACCTCAAAATTGTTTACAAAAGATAAATCCAGAAACTGATGAAAAATCCAAGAATATCCATGTAATCTCCCAACCTTAGACCTGATTTACTTTCTTTTGCAATATGTTTTCATTACAGGATATGGCATACAGGTAGAGATGAGAACAGATTAGTGGAAGCCATTTTGTTGTGTGGAGCAGACGACTACCCTCTCTGTTCTGAGAGCCAGGTTGGGCGGTGCTTTCCTTGTTCACACTTTCGGCTATGTCACGTGGTTTCTTACCTGTGTTTTATCGTCGTTTTACCTGATGGATACCTGACAGGTGAAGGGAGCCATGATAAGTTTATCGAATAGAGAGCCAAAATACGTCATAACTTATTGTACAACATATACATTTGTTACTAACATCGCAATTTTGGGCGCGCTATGACACGTAATTTCAATTATTGAAAATAACTTCAAAAGTAGGTTAATAAACTGATTTAGTTAATAGCCTATGCTGTACTTTGTCATGTTGTAATTTTATTCTGCTTCGTGTTTTCTAAGGTCACTGTTAACACGGACGTAGTTATGTTTGTAATGGGCGTAGAATACATATTCCTGAAACCAACAGCAAGATAAATGTCTGTGTCTTAAACTGTCTCTCGCGCGTAATGTAGCTATACAGGTCCAGTGTCGTTTTCTCTATTAATTAGAGCAGGAGTATTATGTCAGTTTCACTAATACAAATTGTTCATCTAGTATATGTTATGTAGAAATTGAAAATTACGAACAATAAAACAAGTAAATGTTAATACTTAAACTTAAAGTGCAGGTACATTGGTAGCATTTCTAAAAGCAATTTTAATAAGTTAACTGCGTATAAATAAAACAAACAAACATAAATAGTCGTAAATATCATGTTCATGACGATATAAACAATGTTCTGGTTATATTGATATTATGGTTTTAAAAGATAATAACAATAAGATATATATAACTATTTAAAAAAATATATAGTGATGAAGTATACCCATGAATGAATGAATTTGAGAATGAATGAATGAATGAATGGCATACTATGAATCTATGTTTAAAAAACTAAATAGAAGCTAGACGATGACATTTTTTACAAGGGTCTATCAATAGAATTAGATCCTTTGACCATTCGCGAATCAGTTCTATTGACTGACTCGTAAGAAAAAACTTTACCATATAGGCTGATACAATTCAAAATAATGATGAAAAGTAAAATGTAAAAACGTCTGAAATGTCAATATTTTCGAAAACATACTATAAAGGTATAAAATCCTGAATGTATCGTAAGGGAGATTACTAAGTTTACCATAAACTCTTCGAGAGTAATTAACATTAAAAATGAAATACGACTCAACATAAAACCCACTTCCTGTAAAGTTTCGATTGAATTTAAAAAGGAACATCAGAACTTCTTATTCCGACATTTGAATAATATAATGATATAAATGTTCCATGATTTATTAAGTCTGAATAGCTTCCTTGTTTTTTGCCTAAGCTATAATGACATAGCTCATCTCGAAACCTTCAATAATTACTAATAAGTATCCCAGTATTCCATATTATAAAAGGATGTTTTAAGTTTGTAACACCTTCACAGCAGACAATTTAAAAACGAAGTGCTTAAGGTGCTATGTGTATCAAAGGAGAGCTATCAAATCTTAGGCGTGAAGATTGATTGTTTCATCGCTTGCATCTTAATATCATTATCAAATTTGAAAGTCAATGTATCGTGTACCAATGATACGAATTGAATGGTTATCTATTGTGATAACGTCAGTACAAGCACGCCACAGAAATGTCCAGTAGATGACAGGCGCATCCATCATATCATAGAAACAGCAAGCATTCACCTGAGCTATATAGCAATACACTAGGATGCTAGATATTCGTCACCATATTGGTGCTTTGTCGGAGGTATTACTAGGTTTACTCCCATGCCACGTCGCATCACTGACTTTCAATGACAACGATAGCGCTCAAAAGTAAGGAATGGACGCGTTTTAACGGCTGCTGATAAGTTTAACAGTTGTATCAGTTTTCTTGAAATGTGTTTCATATATTTTCATTTGTGTTGCCCGCTTTATTCAAACAAAATACAAACGCTCTCATTTTTAAATTTCTAATAACCAAAGCTCAATAATAGTATCTATATTCTATTTTCATCCTTAAAGTAAGCATAGTGGTAGTATTTTGTAAACAAATGGTTTGTAACCTACATCTAAATCAAGTTTAGAAGAATGATGAGGACAGGGCAATATTACTCTTAATAACTAATGTTCCTTGATGTTCCGTTGTTTTAAAAACGAAATATATTACTAGAACTAATCCTAGCTATACATAGCGGGCAGTGATGATGAAATATAGACGCTAACCATTCCGGAACACCTGGTCTAATTATCATTATACTATGCAATGGTCTCTATTTAAATATCTCCTTTGTCCATGTTTTGCACTGGTCTTAACGATTTCTAGTTCGAATTATGGTTTGGTTGACACTTATTCTTTGTTGGTTTTAAAGCTACATGCATTCACTATGGATGAGTCTGAGGCGTGTACCTGCTTTCCTGTGTTATTTGTTTGACCTTTTCTGGATAATGAAATATCTATAATAATATCGCTTTTGAAGCAGGTTATTGCCTGGTGTGATGCCCTCTCTGTGTGTATAAGGGTTGTTCTTACATGTTCTGACACCTATCATTAGTAGATGCCGCCGTTCGAGCCTCGGGCGATACATGGTGATCATTTAATGGCTGACATATATTATCGGGCACTGTGGACCACTGCACACCGTGACTCTGCCCCTCAATAAAAAACACTATCGTCCATAGTGTTGACATCACAATGTTACCTTTACCTACGCATGTGAAGAGGTCGATGAGAACAAGTTAAATATGTACCACCAAAACTATTTATGAAATAGTATTAATTTAAGGATGAGCTGCTGCTGACTTTTGGCATAACCGCCATTTCTTGCCTATTTTATGCTTCGTTACTTTCCTTGGACACCCAATACAATCGTTTATATAAATTTACAGAATGCTAATCAGGGTAATTTCCCTTGAATTAAGGTATCTGTTTTTATAATAAACTAACATTTATGATTGCAATCATTTAATATAGCTAATAATAAATATCGAAAAGTAATTAACAATGTCGTCGCAATACCGATAGCCGTCGTTATTTACTATAATTTATACATGCAAGGCGTCCCCGAAAACTCCTTGTATATTATCGCTTAACATAGCGACATATTCCAAAGGTTTCTTCATGAAGTTAGGCATGAGCGCTGTGGAAAGCCATCTTAAATTGTTGAGGCAAAGTAATATCGCAAAGCCTAGGTGAAATATTGTAAACTATGGGCACGAACACCGCAATCGGAAGACGGAAGGAAGCGTTGAAGTTGATGAGAAAACTGTCGGACATACACTCCGGGTGGTCTGACTTTGATGGTTGGGAATAGACTACAATTGCAATCCCTTACTAGCACTTTTTTGGTGTATTTACTTTCCATATTAAAATCTTGAAACTTTGTACAAATTTGAGGCATTTTTGTTGATAATTGGTATGTGTCTTCAATATTTGATATCAAAGACCATATACATAGTCTTAGGTTTTTAAACATTTCAACAACTTGGCAGTAGCCTGTTTATTGAGATTGCTCGTAAAGGTCATTGGAAGGGGAAACCGCAAAGCATGTGGTTAGCACACAAGATTTAAAGGAAAGGTGCAACTGCTGAATAACAGACGTAAACCAACTTAAATTAAAATATTGCTGCGCTTTGGTTCTTTTCAAACTCTTTCCTTGATGTATTACAAACTGTAAAAATGCCCAAATTATGCAAGGTACATTTTTGTAGCAGGCCGAACCTACTTCAGAATAGGTAAATAATAAAATGCCAGTGCTTCGACCTGCTCAGTAAATGAACTAGTAAATAACTATTGTCTCCTTATATTTAACAGAGTCAATCAAAAATAGTTTGAGAGGATAGCTAAAAGATTTAGGATTCTTATATCAGACAACTAACTATAAATCTATTATTTGGACGCTTATCTCAAATTTTGTTATTTTATTTGACGACGAAAGTGAAATTTGGTAAATTTATTTATTGGTTGAAAATTATCATAACATTTTCCATCTTTGAAATAGTGAATTAATACCGAAAATGTACGGGACATGTCATTAAAACAGGTAAATGTAAAGATGACTCCTAATATTACATTCCTTTTTATTGTTTATACTGTTTGTTCAAATGCAAGTTTGCTTTTGTCAGATGTAAGGGGGAATATTCACTATTAGAGTTGAATATTTGAATGCATCATGAAAGATTGAGAAAACTCACATAATGAAATATGTTAAATAATGCTTCTGGCACAAATTAAAATAGATATAAGTCAGCGCTTCAACACAAAAGGACGGAACCGGATTTCAAGATCTGAACGATGTGTTTGCATCACGTGCTTGAATTATTGGCTATTAACATTCAAAAGTGACCTTTACAAATCAGCCCAAAACACTGCTATTTTATTATTGTTTTAATAAAATAGCAGTGCAAAGTTAGTATATAGTAGATACGAACCGGTTTTATAACTACTGTTAAACGCTTATCTAGCAGTCACATTAAATCTAAAATTGTCAGTAGTAACATTGACATTACTTGTTTCCCTTTATATGTACCACAGGGTAAAATATCGATCATCAATCGATTTCAGACAGACAGTTTAATATTAAACGTGAAACATTTAACTTTGAAAACCCCCCACTAAATTTCACATTTATTTTATAATAATTGATAAAAATTTGAAGAACACTCTATCATTTTCCTATCGACGTGACAGGAAACAATTCTCTATTAAATTGTTTTTTTTTGTTTAAAATTG